CAAAACCGGAAATGACACTACTCACCATAACAGACCGAACAGTATAAATTCCAAGCGGAGTAGAATAACATCGCTTCATCAGAGGCTCCACTGATGATGTCACCTAGCATGGTGACGAAACGTCTGAATGCAAACAAGCCAGCTCGGCGAGCAAGTCAACAACCTCAATCATGTGGTCTGTTGAGCTTGCTCCATTATTTAGTATGATCATGGGTGATCTTGGGGTACTGCGCCTCATATCCCTTTATTCCCTGTTGAGTTTGCAAACCACATCTGGATAGGGGATGGAGGATGTGCAGCACAAAGATAAATATAATTGCTCTTTATTTTTGTAAGTGATATTTGCATACTGCCAAACAAAATAACTGTCAAACACGTTTTCTACTAGATTAAAAAGTGATTGACCGGTGTTGAGCCAGATTTTTAAAAAAAGGAGTGAAACACCATTTGGAGGAGATGAATTGAAAATAAATGGCATTTTCTTTCCTCGTTCAATTTCTTACCCTAGTCCATTTGAAACCTGGATCAATAACCTATACAAAGCATTTCCAGTGTTTCTTTTCAGTTCAGCTCACAATATTATATTGCAACTGAAATTGTTCAATTATTTCCATTCTTGACCAGTCAGGGTAGCATGGTGGCTCAGTGGGTTAGCACTGCTGCCTCACAGCTCCAAGGACCCAGCTTTGATTCCATCCTCAGTTGACTGTATCAAGTTTGCACATTCTCTGCATAGGTTCTGGGTGCTCCAGTTTCCTCCCACTGTCCAAAGATGTGCAGGTTAGGTGGATTAGCCACCTGAAATGTTAGGTTTCAGGATTAGGATGGGGGTGGATCTGGTTGGGATACTCTTTGGAAGGTCAGGGTGAAGTTGATGGGTATAAAATGAATGGCCTGCTTCCACAGTGTAGGGAAGCAGTGATAGAATTAGAAACCTCAGGTGCAGGATACAGTCCTACAAACTCAAAATGCATTATCAACTCAGACGTTCAAATTCATACTGGACAAAAAGGTACAGGGGAAAATTTTCATTTTCAAACGTGGAACCCTTATTGCTGCAAAGCAACACTAGAAACTGAACCTGGAATCAAAGGGAGATTATTTCAGTTTTCCATGTAACTAATATTATGCAAGAATCAACATTCACACTCCATTTAGTGAGCATTACTGCATATGTTGATGTGTTTGTACCTTGGGTCTTTCCCACCAATAAAACTGGCATTTTATACCCAGCTAATATCAGTTATTAGACACCCAGTACCCATGATTGGGTAGAACGTGAACAAGTACTCCAATGCTTCACATTGCAGTCTTCATTTACATACCAAATGTTTTATTGATACCATGTCAGACTTAATATAAAACTACACTTGACCATTAAGCTGGGATGCTTTCTAAATTAAGTGCACCAAGACCAAGACCAAAACTCTTCAAATTACAAGTATGACACCTAACCAAATTCCAACATACGTGAACTCTAGGTCTCAGTTGACACACGAGGCTCACACTGCTGTTTTGGGCTTGCTGATCCAAAGACTTCTATTCGAGAACAATAGTAAGTTTTAGTTGAGTCAACAGGACAGAGCCACTTATTTTAAATACATCATGCAATTATTACAAATAAAGGAAGTAGAGGGATACAGATTAGGCTTGCAAATATTTAGCGAGCCTGCAAGTCTAGATGTGGAAACTGAAGGCAGATGTGCCAGTGATCCACAGACTTCAGAAGACTCCATTAATGGCAGAGAAGGAAGCAAAAAGTGGGTGAGGTAAAAGGCCAACTGGCATTATCAATAGACTGTTAATCCAGAGACCTGGACAATGTTTAGAAGACCTGCAGATGGCACAATTTTAATCTGGAATTAAAATTCAATTCAGAGTCTAAAGGTGATCATGAATCTATTGTTGAGTGGAGGTAGATATAGGGGAGACGTTTCAGGTAGGTTCTTTATTCAGAGCGGTAGGGACGTGGAATACATTGCCGGAGAGGGTAGTGGAGTCGGACTCATTTGGGGCATTTAAGCAGCTACTAGATAGGCATATAGATGATAGTATAAGATCAGGTTGGAGGTTAGATAGACCTTATGTTTAGGGTAAAAGTTCGGCACAACATTGTGGGCCGAAGGGCCTGTACTGTGCTGTACAATTCTGTGTTCTGTGATCGTCAGAAACCGCAATCTGGTTCGGCTGTCCTTAGTGGTCTGGTCTATGTGCAGGACTCCAGACCCACAGCTGTGGTTGACACTTAATTTCAGGGATGGGCAATGAATGCTGGCCTAGCCAATTAGCCTCACCATTATCCCATGAAAGAATAAAAAAGTGCATGTGTTAGATTTACAAAAACATGAAAAAAGATTAAAATTTGCAGAATTAAAAAACTTGTAATGTCAAGCATTGTAAAAATTGTTTTGTTAAATTGATCCCCTACAATTTGCCTGACTGTAAACAGGTCCATAGTGGATGCCATTTTCCTAGCCCTGCACTCACCCTTGTCCTCATCGTCCACATGTTACACCTACTTCAGATGCCTGCTCAGACTATAGCTCTGCCTTCAACACCATTATCACCTCAAGACTGATCAAAATTCAGACCTAGGTCTTAGCTCCACCCTCTGCAACTGGATCCTCAGCTTCCTGACCCATAGACTGCAGTGAAGATTTCCAAATGCACCTCCTCCACACTAACACACTCCATACTTCACCCCCAACCCCATTGCATTCTCAGCTTCCTATTGTACTCTGCGTACACCATGACTGTGCAGCCAAATTCTAAACAAATGCCATCTACAAAGTTTACTGATGACACCATGGTAGGATGGATATCAAACAACTATCAGCAGAAAGGAGATAGAGGCTTGGTGCAATAATAACAACCTCTCAAATGTCAGCAAAAAGAACTGATTTTGTTCTGAAAATCAACAAGGAGACCACACGCCCATCTGCAATGAAATAGATGTTAACAGGGTTGAGCGCAATAAATTCCTGGTAGTGACAATAACAAACCGCCTGTCCTGGACTTGCCATGTAGATGTGATGGTCAAGGAAGTCAGAACACTTCTTTCTCAGGCAGCTGAAGAAGTTCAGCATGTCTTATAAAAAGGACCCTCATCAGCTTTTACAGAAACCATTCTGCTGGATGCACAACAGCCTGGTACAGCAACTGTTCTGCCTAGGATTGTAAGAAACTGCAGTAGGTTGTGTGCACAGCCCAGGCCATCATAGAAGCCAACTTCCATCCACGCACTCCATTTACACCTCTCGTTTCTGCGGAAAAGGCTGCTAACATTGAAGACCCATCTCACTCTGGTAATGTTCTCCTATAATAGTCTTCCATCATCTGGTAGAAGATTGAACATACCAATAGGTTCAACAGCTTCTTCCCTGCCATTATTAGATTGATGAATAGACTAACTTCAACTAATATTGATCTTGCTTTGTGCAAAGGCTGTGTGGTACAACTTGTGTCACCGTCCAAATTTTTTCTCCCCCCCAACCACCCGATCTTGTACTGCTCGCAAATAAAACTTTTCACTGTACTTAGAAAAGTTACTTGTGGAAAAAAAAAAAAAAAAAAAAAAAAAAAAAAAAAAAAAAAAAATCACCATGTAAACAGAGTAACTTAACCGATTGTCTGCGAGTTGCCTGCCACTATTCCCATGGAGGCTTTTCAGGTGCATTTTAGCTGGCCATGTCTAACCTTTAGAAATGGACATTAAGAAATGTGGATTTCATTCAGGTTTATCCTCTATTTCTAAAAGTAGCAAAGTAAATAAAAGTTGAGATCTCCCCCTCAATTGCCATGGAATCCAGAAGTGAATTTATATATCACCTTACTTCTTGAATGCATCTTAAAGAATTTCACAACCAAGTTTCTTTTGGAGTCGAGTCACCTTCATAGCAAACATGCATAGCAGAATCTCAAACAATTAATCAGAAGTGTTAATGGTGGTATTGGCTGAAGAAGAAATGACAAAATTAAAGAGAGAGTGTTCAAGGTCACTTGGCATCCATCCATTGCCTCAAGTAATCCCACCCACCATTACACAGTTTATGCCATCCACAACACCCTAGGTGTTTTCAAAAGCAACTTCCAAGTGTACAATCTTCAGTGCCTGGAAGAAGCACAGCAAAACATGGGAACAGCATCACCTGCTAAATTCTCCAATGTTACACCATCACCTTGGACTTGTAAAGGTTGTCATTACTGGGTCAAAATCCAGAAATCCTGTACTCTAAAAAAGCCTGAATTAAGTTGCACCTGTTATAGCCACATGACACCTCAACTTTATACTCATTGAGATGCTTTTGAAGAGTAGTCACTATTGTAGTGTTGGAACACAAGTAGCAATTTGCACACAGCAACTACCTGATAACAACCAGATTTCTGATGAGAACTTCTCACTTCAAAATGGCAGAGGATCTTGAACTGAGAATACAAAAAATTGACATTCAGCTGAAAACTTAGAGGGAGCCTCAATTTAAATGGCTCATCTGAAAGGCTGATACATTAAAAAAAATTAGAGCTCCTACAACAAAGCCTACAGCCGCTCTGGAAAAATGGCTTGCCACTATCTAGAGAGCAATTAGGAAGGTCAACCAAACACTGGCCTTGCCAGAGACATTACAGATAATTGATATGAAAAGTCAATTAATCACTCCCCTTATATTTCACTACAATAGCAGCCTGGCTGTTGGACTTGCTTAAGGGCAGAAATGGGCTACTTGAGCCAAGCTTCATTTCTAGATTCAACACCACTCAAGAGCTGGTAAAATGGATAGACATTTTCCAAATAATTACTACAGATAAGGTGGCAAGCAAAATGCAGCTGAATTCTCATCTTCCCACTATCCTTTGGGCACTGCAGCATGGAAGAAGCATCTTGTAGCATTGTCCCAGTTTGTTTCATGTACATTAATTTTTGATCCTCTCAATCATTGGAGATTTTGGACCACAGCAAAGTCTAAAACATTCAACATTTACCCCACAAAATCAGAATGCTCTTTTAATAAAAAGAATAAATTCTTTATTGCATATATATTACATCTATTTTACATAAAAAGGATGCAAAAACCACAACTGTACAAGTGCATGACAACATGAAATTCACTTGATGAGTAATTTATAATGGCACCAGAATGAGGAAGTCAAAGGATTACATTCTTAGTCACCAATATAAGCATGCAGTGAGGTTAAAAGTTGACAGAACACACTGCAAGGTTGAAACATTTCACCAAAGTCAGTCATCGAATTATAGTCCTGAGATAATCCATTGGAATCACAGGTTGCATTATACAGTATATACCTAGTGAAAGAAGAGTTCCGAGAGTGCAAGCAGTTCAACTTAAATTGTATCCAAAAACTGGGTTTTACTTAGTCATTAGATAGAAAGGAGGTGACAAATAGCAGTGCTGGGAATTTACTATTTAAAAAAGGAGTATCACGCGCATGATGTTTCCTTTTAGCTGTTGGCACACTATTCAGATTGTACACTGTGAAGGAAGTACTGTGTAATGCATGCATAATACCACTGTAATATCAGTTCTACCTGGTATTCCACAGATTGTAGATTAACAAGTTTGATACATACATTCTCATCCCAAAAACAAATAAAACCCATAAATCAGGTATACATCATTTTAAATGGAATTTGTGCTCAAAGCCAATCCATGATTTATAATCTGGAAATTCATATTTCATCATCCAAAAGAGAAAAAAAGTCAGCCTTAAAGCTACCATAAAAATGTTTAATTATTCAGAACTAATTCATAAAGCTCTTTTACAGCAATCATTTACTAGCAAATTACAGAAAGTGTTACAGGTGATCAAAGATTTCCCAAATGTCACTATTTCTACATAATTAAGTTACAGTCTGGAGATTTCTGGACACTAAAAAGCATAATATTGTGTTCAACTTCAGTGTAATTTGAGGCTAAAAGTTTCTAGAAAGTGTCATTTGGCAGAAGACCTGGAAGGCAATCCTATGCTCACTGTGGCTGTGTAAGAAAGAAGGAAAGTTAAACATTAGGAACAGTTCACTGAGAAATCGTAATAACACAGAAAATGAAAAAGGGATTTCAAAACAAAAAAAGAAAAAAAAACACAACTTGTTCAAAGGCAAAACCTTTCCTAATCTGTTAGTTTACTTGAAAGAATTTGGATTTTTGTTTCAAATAGTCAAAAAAGCTCAAATCCAGGTTTTGCAGATTTTTCCAAATTTCCAAACTGGTATCAAGCCAAGGAACTACAGCATGCAAAATAACTCCATGCAGTTTATACAGATGGAACATGTACTGAAATTTGTGGCATCAGTTTATGATTAGTTGTTCACTCAAGAGTTGCACTCAGGTGATTTTAAAGGCCAATAATAATTTTTAAAATATTATTGGACTAGAGGAGTGTTTGATTGAAGCAATATTTAAATTCATAAAACAAAGTGAATTGCAGCAAATCTACAAACAGATACGTTTAGTTACAAAAACTGTAAACTCCCATAAGCTTTATGATGCCATTGTCACCTAAAGACAATTAGGTATTTGATGCTTTCCAGAAACAAGCTCAATAAATGGATTTGCTGCCACACTAAGTTAAGTTGTGGTAAAACATGCAAGAACATGCTTTAAATCAAGTTGTTTTAGACTTCCTAGGATTTATCAAATTTCTATTTCTATGGAGAAATATTTGCAATATCTAATCTGATTTATTACTTTTAATGCAAAGTGTGTCACATCAACTTGTAGAACAGCAGAAGTATTGTACAGAATGTAATACTGAACAAACCAGAAAAGAACAGAGGCATTGGCACAAGTAAACATACGTTATGACATGAACAGTTCATCACCACCAAAACAAAAATCTTGGAGCAGTTTATACTTTTCCCTCTGTGACCTTTGATCATACTCTAAAAGAAAGTTTACCAATTTATAATACTGAAAGTCAACCTTACTCGATTTAAACCGAGTTTCGAGTTTGTCATAGTCCATACCTTTAACAATTTTTATTGGTAATGAAGTAACAAGTTGTATTCCTGTTCCTACACTAAAGGAATGAAGAACTGAATTTCTTGTAGAATTAGAGCACTAGCCAATTAAAAACTTTTGATCAAAAATCATACCCATTTAATATTAAAAAATGTAGTTATTAACTTACATGGATGAGAATCATAATAGTCTAATGTTCAGAACTCCTCCAGAATTTGTCTGGTGAAAAAAACTAATTAACTTAATTCATTATAAGACATGGAGATCATACAAAGTTCACATCAGTAGTGCATTCTGATTTTTTAACAGCATGCCGAATTCCAATGACGTTCACTTTTTGACATATCTTTCAATTGAATGTAATCCCCTTGGTTTTGGTTTAGAGGTCCCAAACTAGGCTTTGACATCAAGTGCTCCACTAATACTCTGAAAAATAAAGCAAGTGAGATTTTTTAGTTTTTAAATGTATGTCCAGAATACTAAAACATTTTTTAAATTGATTACATTAAAAAAAAAAAACTTGTTTCCCTACATATTCAAAGAGAATTTGCTCTACTCAGAGGGTTGTGAACCTTTGGAAATCCCCCAGAGGACTGAGGAAGCTTAATGTGAGTATGTTTGAAGGTAGAGATTGATGGATTTGATTACCAATGGGATACAGGGTTAGGAGATTGAGTAGTTGGCAGTGAAAAATTTGATAAACCAAAATAAAAAATTGTAAGGCATAGCAGGGCAGGTTTGTCAGGCTGAATGGTCTACTTCCTGTCCCTGTGACTGCTCAAAGCAGCAAAATGTAATATTTAGTATTTCCTGTAACAAGTTATCTAGTAAATGAAAAAGTTGAATAATTCCAAAGAAATTAGTTTCATAACATACCTCATGGCTTGAGCAATATTCTTGTTTTCTTTCACTGAAGTTTCAACCCAACCAACAAAATGGTTTTCTTTACTGAAGAGATCAATCTCACTTCTGCTGATTGCCCATTCTGACAGATCACACTATTTGTGGAGTGGAGGGAAAGGGGGGGGGTGAAAAGAATTGGTAAGCATGGAAAAAAAATCCTTCTTTCAAAATACAAAGCATTATCCAAACAAAGCTCCATTTTAGGTAGTAAAGCAAATAGTACCAAATTTTCTAAACTAAAAATGACATTTGCATACATATTAACAGATTTTTTTCATAAATTCTTTCAGAGACTTCAGAGGGTAAAGTTTTAAAAATTTTACTTTGTTGGTCGCAGGAATGTTTCTTGTTTGCAGGTGAAGGAAAAATGTGACAGTTTTAAAAGTGGTTTGAAAATTCAGTCATAAAACTAAGATCAATTCATCTCTTCCTTCCCATCCAAATGGTGTTGGCAGAAATCAGCTTTACTGCACATTTGAAAAATATTAGAGTGTTTGTAATATCTGCATTCATTTAACCACACTGCAAACTTTTCTTGCAGTTCAGATGATGTTTAAAATTGCTGTTTCATGGTGTTAGTTTCACAAAAAGAAAGCAGCACCACCTGGTGGTTCCTTAGTGTGAAATTCAACTTTTTGCAATTCAAAACCAACATTTCTCTCTCAAACTCAAGCTCCCATGGATCACTTATCTGCTTGGCAAAGAGATTGGAGACTGGCTCTCACATTGCACTGTAACAGGGCAAGAGGAAGAGCAGCTCCTTTTTTTTCCTGATTTGGTAGCATTTGTGGAGATTAGCAATTTTCTATATGCCCATCTTTGCTCGATTATCAGGGAGCCCTAAACTTTCAGTACAGGACAGAGGTGACCTCCAATATATTGAGCTGTTATGCTAGTCAATATATATAGAGAACCAGGGAAACTGTGTATGCAAAACATGCAAAGATACCAAAAATAAAATTGACTGAATAAAGCCACCCTATCACAAAAGCCTTAGCAGAACTATTGAAGGACAAAATGGGCAAAAGTTGTCCAACTGTTAAAACAGAAGTTGCTGGAAACACTCAGCAGGTCTGGCAGCAACTGTGAAGAAAAATATCAGAATTAGTGTTTTGGGTCCGGTGACTCTTCCTTCAGATTCTGATTTGTTCCCGATTTACATCATCCGCAGTTCTTTCGGTTTGTGTTTAGTTTTAGTAATGTTTATTTCAAATGATATATTAGGCAGGAACTGAAGAATGTAGATTGGAGGCAGATGTTGGAGGGCAAATCAACATATGGAGGCTTTCAAGTGTAAGTTGCTGGGAACTCAGGATCAGCAGGTTCCTTTAAGGATGAAGGAGAAGTATGGCAAGTTTAGGGAACTTTGGATAACGAGAGATATTGTGAGCCTAATCAAAGAGAAAAAGAAAGCATTTAAGGCTGGAATACAATGAAAGTCAAAAGAAACTTAAGGCATCAGGAGGGCTAAAATGGGTCATGAAAAGTCACTGGCCAACAGGATTAAGAGAGTTGGCCCATTCAGACAGGGAAGGGAATGTGCGCGTGGAGCCAGAGGAAATGGGCGAGGTATTATAAGAGTACTTTGCGTCAGTATTCACCATCGAGAAGGACTTGGTGGATGATGCGTCTGGGGAAAGGTGTGTAGATAGTTTGGGTCATGTTGAGATCAAAAGAATGGTGGTATTGAAGGTCTTGAAAAACATTAAAGGTAGACAAGTCCCCAGGGCCTGATGGGATATATCCCACAACACAGAGGCAAGGGAGGAAATTGCTGGGGCCTGGAGGAAAATCTTTGTATCCTTACTGGCTACAAGGGAGGTCCCAGAGGATTGGAGCATAGCCAATGTTGTTCCTTTGTTTAAGAAGGGTGGCAGGGATAATCCAGCTAATTTCAGGCCGGTGAGCTTTACTCAGTGGTAGGGAAATTATTGGAGAGGATTCTTCGAGACAGGATTTACTCCCACCTGGAAATCAATGGGTGTATTAGCGAGATGCAACACGGTTTTGTGAAGGGGAACTTGGTGGAGTTTTTTTGAAGAAGTGACGAAGATGATCGAGGAGGGTAGGGCAATAAATGTTGTCTACATGGACTTCAGCAAGGCCCTTGATAAGGTCCCTCACGGCAGGCTGATACAGAAGGTAAAGTCACACAGGGTCAGAGGTGAACTTGCAAGATGGATAAAAAAAAAAGACTGGCTTGGTCATAGAAGGCAGGGGGTAGCAGTGGAAGGGTGTGTTTCTGAATGGAGGGCTGTGACTAGTGGCATTCCTCAGGGATCAGTGTTGAGACCTTTGCTATTTGTAATATATATACACACACGATTTGGAGGAGAACGTAACTGGTCTGATGAGTAAGTTTGCCGATGACACAAAAGGTCGGTGGAATTGCAGACAGCAATGAGGACCGTCAAAGGATGCAGCTGGATAGAGATCAGTTGGTGACTTGGGCACAGAAATGGCAGATGGAGCTTGATCCGGAAAAATGTGAGGTAATGCTAATCCAGATGGAAAATATACAGCAAGTGGCAGAATCCTTCAGAGTACTGATAGGCAGAGGGATCTGGGTGTACAGGTACACAGGTCACAAAGTGGCAAAACAGGTGGAAAAAGGTGGTCAACAAGGCATATGGCATGCTTGCCTTCATCAGCCAGGGCACTGAGTTTAAAAAATTGGCAGGTAATGTTGCAGCTTTATAGGACCTTAGTTAGGCCACATTTGGAATATTGTGTTCAATTCTGGTCGCCACACTACCAGAAGGATGTGGTGGCTTTAGAGGATACACAAAAGATTTACCAGGATGTTGCCTGGTATGGTGGGCATTAGCTATGAGGAGAGGTTGGAGAAACCTGGGTTGTTCTCACTGGAACGATGGAGGTTGAGGGGCACCCTGATAAAGGTCTACAAAGATTATGAAGGGCATGGACAGACTGGATAGTCAGAAGCTTTTTCCCCAGGGTGGAAGAGTCAGTGACTGGGGGCCATGGTTTTAAAAGGTGATGTAGGAGGCAAGTTTTTTTTTCTTTTATACACAGAAGGTGATGGGAGCCTGGAACTCACTGCCAGGGGAGGTAGTGGAAGCAGAAACTATAGTGACTTCTAAAGGACATCTTGACAAATATATGAACAGGATGGGAATAGAGGAATATGGTCCCCAGAAGGGTAGGGGATTTTAAGTTGTGACGGGCAGCATGTTGGTGCAGGCTTGGAGGGCCAAAGGGCCTGTTCCAGTACTGTAAATTTCTTTGTTCTTTGTCCTATAATTATAATAGGAGTCAAGTTTGCACACTAGTGGAGATTTGTAGCAGTTCAAATTCTCTCTGTTCACACTTGGAAGCAACCCACCAAAAGAAAGCTGCAAGCAACTGTACAAGCAGATTGACGGCATACAAATGCTTATGAATAAAGTAAGCTGCTGGGTTCAGGAATAGGAGATGAAATTTAATGTAGTGCCTCATAAGGCACATCAGAAACAACTGTTTGGCATACACTGAAGAAGAAAAAGAAAGATTTGAACACTTTTGGGACTTGGCAATGAAAGCTACTAAAGACTTAAGGGATCCAGAACAAGTCTTAAATAATATTGGAAAACTGAAGAGTCAAAACAGTATTTTAATTTTTTTGGGACTGGAAGAATGCTCAAAATGTTTTTTTAAAAAAATTTGAACACAAATTTCCTTCATTTGAGTTGAAAGATACATTACGTAACTGATAAGTTACAAGATTGGTAGTTCTCATCAAGTAAAGGATTTTCAAGGGGACATGTTATTTAAGTTATAGTACACACCCCATGTTATGTGCATTTAACATTATGGAGAACAAATCGATAAGCCAACAACTTTAAATAGTTAAGTACCAGAGGTTCTTCCCACACCAACATGGAGATGTTTAAAAATGTCAATATCAAGATATAATGTAGATACACAAGTTTCAAATCCCTTTAGAACCAGATTGTGACAGAACCATGATTGCATTCTGCGAAAAAGGAGAGAAGAATACCAGTCATGGAGAAAACAATCTCAAATCTTATTTCTTGGAATCTTCTGCTCTTCCCCATTAGTTTTTAAATAGTTACTAAGTGAATTGGGGAGATTTTTCAAGAAGAAAACAATGTAAGGGCATAATGCCCAAATCATATTTTCTGGTCATACTTAAATTCCACAATGCTTGAATGCAAGAACAATATCCGTTGCTTCCACCCACTCAACCTGATTCACTTGCAAGACAGATCACAACCCAAATATTTTTGTTAGGTGTCCCCAAAAAAAGAAATCCACAAATTTACCAGAGATTTCTGCATTGAGTTCTAGATACCAGTTCTCTTAAGATTTGACAAATTCTCTTTCATCCAAAAGTGCTGCAGTTACATTGAGTTTAGAAGCTATCCATTACAAACAGATAAAGAAACAAGTCTTAGAACACAAATGCTGCATCAAAGAGATTTTGATTCACCTTGTTTGCCAAAAGAATACATGGCACAGGGCTTCCATCCACCAAAGCAACTTTGCTATCTAAATCATGCTTCCATTTGAGGCAATTCCGGAAGGTTGCTGTATTTGTCACATCAAACATAACAATGCATGCTCCAGCATCTCTGTAATATAGTCTGGTCATGGAGGTGAAGCGCTCTTGGCCTACAAATAAAGGAAACTTAATAATTTATTCACAAAGGAGGGTGCTGACTTACAGTCCTTTCACTTATGGAAGACTGGTAATCTTTGTCTAGTAAAAATTCAAGTGACAAAAATTGAAGGGAGATGTGAAGAGGAAAAAGGATGCAGTAAAACCTGCTGACTCAAAATTATCAAGAGATTTGGTCAGAGTCAGGGGAGTTTGTCACTCCTGTTTCCATAAAAAAAAAGATATTTTCAAATCAATAAACTCACTTAGATGTGTTTTTAATTAAGATATTGGAGACACTTTGTCTTTAAGTATACAAGGCATAAAGCAGAACATCCTGTTGTCAAAAGTAATCCATCACCCACTTAGACGTCCTATCATTCAGGATACAAGTGTTATCATTTTTAACCAAGTGAAAATTCGTAGTTAGAACAATATTAGATTTAATCACTATCATATTTGTTGGAAATCTCTACACCAGATGACTATGGGAGCTCACTGAGTATAAAAACACAGGTTGATAATTTTTTGGTCAGTTGTGTCAAATGTTACAGGGCTTGTGTGGAAAAAAGGCACTGAAGTTTTCCAATCAACTACAATCATTGATTAGCACAGCAGGCTTGATGGGCTGGATGACCCATTTCTGTTCCCAATTCCAGGAAAAATTTAAAGTTAATATATGTATCTCTACTGTTTGGTTAGAAATGAAATAACTTTGAAGAGTAGTAGTAATTGTTTTCTATTTGATTGGGTCTTACCATGTCATTCTATTCTCAGCATGAAACTGATTCAGCACAAGTAAAGAAGTGACCCTCTTCCCAGAATTTCCCAGAGTAATACCATGTGCAACTGATGTACATTTTCTTTGTCAAATACATCTTCCTAACAATTTCCAAGATAGAAAACTTGACACAGTTGTCAGAAAATTACTGCCTTGTCAACTCAAATCTTGTTTTGAAGATTATTTCAACTGTAGTCAAATGTTTCTTTCCCAACTGTGACAAACTTAAGCAGCTCACTTTGGGGAATTATTGCCACGAATTAAAATGGTACTGCATACTTCTGTACACAAGAGTCCAGGTGTTAGGTGACAATGTTGTGTTGTACTATTTTTTCCTAAAGCAGCTCACTATATTTACTTGTACTAACATTTCAATCATGGATCTAGTCAAGACAAATATAGACATGTATTCTTTAAAGAATACAAGGATAGACTTTGTTGTAAACTTTTCTGATTGAATGTGAACTAAAACAAGCATTTACCAGCAATATCCCAAAGCTGGAGTCGAACAGTCTCCGAGTCAGACCACTGTATAATCTTCAATGCAAAGTCCACTGAAAGTAATGAGATAAAGATATAGCAATAACATTCGGCATCGAAAACAATTTTAAAGCATTTAATTTAGCAAAGATCCAGTTACAGTCAGAGATAGCATGTGTCACCGATCTGGATTTTGCTATGGCAATGATGGCAAAAACAATCAGCAATTGCCATCATTACTTCATTAAAACTGACAGCAACTACAAAGCCTGCCATTATGCAAAGTGATGCAGAAATCCAGGTTTTACTGTTAGTGATTTTGCATTCTTCAAGTAACCTGTTGAAATCCCCAGAGCATAACATTCAAATAGGGAATCGATGAAAACTTTCACTTTTATCCTGGTACTCTTGCTGTGAAATAAAAAGTAACTTTTTTTTTTTAAAATTAAAGGGTGACTTGTTATACAAGGCACCACCTGTCTTTTTAAAATACTTGAGCAAGTCTACACTGGAGGTCCTGTAGTCTGGTGGGTAATGCACCTGCCTATGATCCAGAAACTCTGGGTTCAAAGATCCCCCATCTTCCACACGAATCCCAGTGTGCACTTCAACTGCAAGAGTTTAAAAATTAAGAGGTATTTACTTCTTGATTTGCCACTTGAGAGAATACTTCAATCGATTTGGGACTTACCTGCTAGCTGATATGCTTGCATGGGATGCCTGGTAATCCCCTTGGCATGACAGCAGATTTAAATTCCCATCAGGAATGAGGAAACCCACATGAAAGAGAGCAAATTCAGAGTAGGCTGCTAATCTCTAAAAAGTCAAGGGCACCACTGCTATGCTGCTGACCTCAGTCTGGCCCATTCTCCAAAAAAAAAAATGACCCAAGCAAAAAGAACTCTGCTTCAGGTCCATCAATAAATAAAAAGTTGGCAATAAAAGGACTTCACATGTTTCTACTTTGAAAAATATCCTGCTTTAGTTCCACAGAAGTAAAGTGGACCACTTCAGTTTTTCCCCTCCCAGGATGGGGTAGCACCTCACGTGAAACAGCCCATATAGAACTGACAAATTCCAAACACTTTTCATTCTAAATGTCCATAATTGACAGACATTTGATGCTAACAGTATTGTGCGTAAACATTAAGTGAGCAATTACAGCAGCTCAGTGGTTAGCATTGCTGCCTCACAGTGCCAGGAACCCAGGTTCAATTCCAACATCAGGAGACGGTCTGTGTGGAGTTTGCATGTTCTCCCCATGTCTGCGTGGATTTCCTCTGGGTGCTCCAATTTCCTCCCACAGTCTAAAGATGTGCAGGTTAGGTAGATTGACCATGCTAAGTTACCCATGTTCAGGGATTTGTAGATTAGGTGGGTTATAGGGGATGGGGTTGGGTGGGATGTCTGAGGGTTGGTGTGGACTTGTTGGGCCGAAGGGCCTGTTTCCACATGGTATGGATTCTATGATTGTATGAGTTACGTAGTATGGAAGTGAACAAACCTGACAAGAAAGTCCCAGTCTATTATATTTGACTCACTTCATTACAAAATATAGTCTTTAAACAATTAGTGCAATGTCATATTAACAAAAAATAAACTCATGATTATGTCCATGAGTAACAGTCATTGAGTCAGATGTACAGCATGGAAACAGACCCTTTGGTCTAACTTGTCTGCAGT